TCATTCTCATGGGGTACTCCAGGTTGTTCAGGTTCAAGGATAACTAGACAGAAAGTTGATTACTGTTAGGAGACAGAATGTTTATTCTTATTGTTATGATGTGTTTAACTATAGTCGTAGTCATAATATTTTCTTATGCTTAATGTCATGTCAATGTTTTAGCTACACACCACATAATCAACGAACATTCACACATTGATTTTCTTCATGTTTTGACTACTGCTATGGTCAGCTGCAAAGCTGGCACCAGGAGACGTCACGGTTTGATGTCCCTGAGTAGTATGGGGTTAGCCCGAAGTGATATAATGTATAGGCCTGTTATGGTTCAGGGCTTTTCATCCTTCAGCTGCCTGCGTGCATGTTGGAGATGCAAAGACTCCTGAGCGTGTAATGTTAATTTTTACCTGTGTTCACTGAATAAATCAGCACTGTTTTGAAGTTACTCGGACTGCTTCGTCTCTCAGAGTTAACGGTGAAAAGAATCGGGTACAACACTATCCTTTAATGCCCACAACAAAATGCTTCAAATGGTTTGCTGTGCTTTTATTCAAAGTGCCTTGGCTTTCTTTATCATCTGTTTGTTTGGTAAAGCTACAGAAGCACAGAGAAAGAAGATTAGGAAGATAGCAACAACCACTAGCAAGCTGACAGGCACTACATTACCAACCATGGGATGGATCTATAGGGACAGACTGACAACCAAGCCTAAAACATTGTGGGGGTCCTTTTGCCTCTTCATTTACATTGTTGCCATCTGCCCAGATTTACTAAAAATCGATTCTCATCCCCAAGCTATCAAATTATTATACAAGGCTGCTCAGCTGGGCTGGGCAGGAGTTGATTAATTTGTTTATTTGACTTAAAAAACTTTAATCATTTGTCTCTCCCATTAGTTGCGCTGCAACGCCATGTGACTCTGCAGCAAATATAATTTCCCCAGGTGGACAAATAAAGGTGTCTATAATATACAGGTTTATTTATGTAGCACATTTTCATTCACAAAGGCAATTCAGAGCGCTTAAAACATTGCACGCAGTGCACACAAATAGATAAAAAAAATTATGCACATGCACACAAATTAGATCAAAACACTGAACGCAACAATTAGCCTACACACCACAGGGTAGCAACATGCAAATGTAGAATACTTTTATGATAGTTTCATTCAAATTTCGCATTTTCAAACACTAGGATTTAGCGATATTACACACAGGACCTACACTAGGCTAATTTTTTTCTATATACATTTCCTTTTAGAAATAAATGTAGGCTAGAAACTGTTTATTCAAAACTAAGGAAGTATAAGGAAGCCCAAGTAAAGTGTCACTAATTTTAATGGACTTGTGTGAATTATACACCACACATCAGTTCCTCCTTAAGAAGTTTATGTTCCACGTTAGTCCCAGTGTCTGTGAAGGCAACAAGAAAATGTGATCCAGACGTTTTCGGTGGCGGCCAGTGCATATTTTACATCTATTTCGCATCATATTAAGCTTAATTTGTCAGTCACTTCCCAAATATTTTATCATTATTACGCAGAGAGGTTTTAGTAAGATCTTGCACAGATATGATACGAACACAGACCGCGCATGTGTCCGATACAGTAGGTTGCAGAATGCACCTTAATCCGCCAGAAAACAAGCAGAAAGGGAGCAAGAAGAAGACTGCGCATGTGTGGCAAACAAGCGGAAGCAGTATGTGAGCCAACCGGAACCTCTAACGTTCTTTCTATTCCCGGATTGCCGTCATGGTGAGTCCGCCATGGAAGGTTTAGGACTTCTAAGTCGAATTTCTTTTTCATATGTCGTTTCTTTCCAATAATAAAACTTGTACGTATTGCTAATATATGCATACACATTTATGTGAAGTGTTTTATGAGGTTTAATGTTTGAATGTTACCTGTGTAAGATGTCGGTTACTGAACGCATCACAACGTGGTTCATCAAGCTGAGAGGGCCGAGCATAGCGAGAACAGCTAACTCGTTTCACATGGTTTATCCCCATATCATCGATCTATATAAGCCTCTTACGACGTCGTTCCATTTAAATACATTTTAATCTACTGTTCACTCTAGTCAGATTTTGTCAACAGCGCATAGATCGTTAGCACAGACATCAACTAGTGTAAAGTTCAGCTGTTGCTGTAAACGCCGGGTCTGCTTCAAGTCGGTTTCGTCTCTTCAGACGACAGACAAGGTCGTGCACCTTTTGTCCAAGCACAAAGCAACCTACCTACTTGTCAGTTTTGCTGTTGTCTCTCAGGTGTACAAGCGCTACGTTGAGATCGGCCGTGTTGCCTATGTCTCTTTCGGACCCCATGCTGGCAAGCTGGTGGCCATCGTAGATGTCATCGACCAAAACAGGGTGAGCCCTCTGGGGAACTGTGCACTGATCGGTGTTCACCTTGCTTTAGACTCCATGATATTGATTGTTTCTGCTGCCCTGTGTTTCGCAGGCTCTTGTTGATGGTCCCTGCACTGCGGTGAAGAGGCAGGCCATGCCCTTCAAATGCATGCAGCTCACAGACTACGTCATCAAAGTACCTCATAGGTGAGTGGGGACTGGTCACATCCATACTACCAAACCCTAAGAATGCATGTATTATAGCTTACTTGTTAGTGTTTTGTTAGCATTAGGTCATTTTATAGGCTATAATAAATCTGTTGTAAGACAAGAACAGCTATACAAGACAACACATTGTGTTCTCACCTATTTCTGCCAGCCTACATACACAAAGTGTTAAAATAAAGATGATGTTTGGAATTTCAGTCAGTAAAGACAAACTAGCTTACAGAAATGAGAGAACCAACTGCATTCACAGCATTTCACAAAGTGATCTATCAGTGTAACCAAATGACTGTAATAGTTCTGTTCAAAAGTGTCCAGTTTACCATGGATGAGTTCACTGAGCAGAGCTGCACCTTTAAAAGGGTTGTAAAGTGCCAACAGAAACATGAATCTGGAGTCTTATTGTTGTCCTTTTAGAAATGTTATTGTAAAGTGATAATGACATGTAATAGTGCCTCTACTATCAGTACTTACTGTATGTGATGGTTCACAGTGCCCGCCAGAAGTTTGTGAGGAGAGCCTGGGAGAAAGCCCAGGTCAACGAGAAGTGGTCACAGAGCAGCTGGGCCAAGAAGATCGAGGCAAGACAGAAGGTAAAGTTGACATTTTCCTGGTCATTGCAACTTATCAGAAGGTTTACAACTTCAGGAAAAGTGCAATAATCACTTGTTTCAGCAGTAGGGGTTTTATGGTTACTTGTTTTCTATAGCATAGAATATTGGGTTACAGGTGTAGATACAACTGGTAATGAACATTTCTGAAATGTGGCTTTAGAATAAGAACTTGTCAGGTTTTTGGCCAAATTTGTCAGTGTAATATTACTTGGGGGGTGGGGGGAATGGATGAGTAAACAAAACTGAATTTTAATTCCTATACACAAATAATGTTTGCTTTTTAAAATATCGGTGGGGTTATGGTGACAGAGTTGGCAATGGGTAGGTGAATGAGTGATCAAGGCGGCTGGGTTGTATTTAGGATAGGAAAGCCGTTTTAGCACACTCCAAATCCTGACCAAGCCAGTGGTGAATTTACAGGATGGAAACTGGTCAACTTTAGGTTTCAAACTCATTTTAATCCAGTATTTACTGGGGTAGCACTGGGGAGAAAACACAGGGTTTGCTACTTTATTTAGCATAAATCAAATATTTGATGTGTGAGGCTGAACAATCACTGTCGATGTCTGGGTTGAAGCTGACAGATTCCTGCT